GAAGATGTTCTTCAATCCTATTTTCTTAACATATCTTCAAGTTTTTGACCCTGGGGTACCTTTACTCCATTGGCAACATACTTAATAGATAATTAAAACATGACTACTTTCTTTAGTGTTCATTTGACCTATGAAAAACTATGTGCTGTACCAAGTGCTAATATAGACTATTCCTCCACTGGCCATAATTTCTAATTCTCTTTTTTTATATCTCTCAAACTAGCATAGAATCTCTGGAGCAGCAGTTATATAAAGCAAAATCCAAGTTATTGACTAGGTGCCATTCCAAATACTTTGGTCTTTGACTATTTGAATGATGGTCTTCAAGGTATGCTAATTTGTCTGAAGCAACAATTTTAAAGTATCACTACTTATTTCTCCTTGAGATATACACAAAAGTCACCTCCATTTTCCCCTAGGTCATAAATTAAACATAACTTTGATTTCTATCCAAAATCTTTACATAGAGTTTTGGTAAAAGTGGCTTTGTGGAGTACTGAAGAGAGATTTTCCATTTCTCTTGTAAACTATTTTAGATTAAAAAAAATATTCACTTGTTAGAATGAGATGGACTCAGCAAGTATTCTTTCAGGTGAAGAGTAAGCCCCAAATCAAAAATCAGAGACACGGGGCCACAAAGGTTGACAGTGGTAGAATGCTTGCCTTGCATGCATGAGGCCCTAGGTTTGATTCTTCAACACCACATAAGCAGAAAAAACTGGAAGTGGTGCTGTGGCTCAACTAGTAGAGTGCTAGCCTTGAGATGAAGGGCTGAGGAACAGTGCCCAGGCCCAGAGTTAAGGCCCCATGAAAGTCAGAGACACTAAAGTTTATAATCATAATAGTGACACTTCAAATGAGTTCTTAAGTTATAATAAAAGAGAAAGGAAGGTAACAGCTTATCGAAATGAAGTGTTGGTTCATGACTGTAATACTAGCTACTTAGGAGGCTGAGAATCATGGCTTGAAGGTAGCCAGGGCAGACATGGATATGAAACCCTTATCTGTAATTAACCACCAAAAAGCTGGAAGGGGTGCTATGGCTCAAATTGTAGAATGCTAGCCTTAAGTTATTATGCTCAAGGGACAGTGCCTAAGCCCTTAGTTCAAGCTCTACCAATGTCACCGAAAATGCTTTCAAATCCATCGATATGGTTCACTTAATTTGATTATCTTATTAAATGGCACCTGAACAAATTGCCTTCTTTTAACTGACAAACATTTCTGTTAACTCCCTTATTCATTAAACTTAAGACTTCAAGATAGAAAACTTCTTTGCCAGGTCTGTCTTAGCAATTAGGTGAGGCCATCACATAATTCAGTGGTATCCTTTTCTGGATTTTCAGTTTAATGAATGAATCAGAGTTGCTTTCAGCCTGTCTCTTACAAAATTCCTATTCCTAGCCACTGTCCATTCTAAGAAAATATAATCTATTGCTCTGTCTTCTGCAAAGTATAGGTATTCAAAATGTAGTCAATGAATGATCTCTCAAGCTGTAAACAATTTAAACAATTGAATAGTGTTTTGAAATATCAAAAATACCTGATTAGAATTTAAGATATTCAACCAACTCCATTCAATGAAATAACATAGGTCAAATGGGCAGAGCCTTAGAAAATCCACAAGTCTGGCACCAGCAGTGTCTGCATAATAAGGTATTTAGAAATACAAGACATCTTATGCTATGATTAGTTCAAGAATTCTGCAAACTTGGATTGACATCAGGTCTTTTTACTGCCTGGGATAATCAAAGAATCTGGGTAATCAAGTCTCTCTTATTGACTGCCAAGCCAGGGAAGAACCAACCCACCTGAGATCAACTCTGTCATCATCTCATAAGTCATACTTCCCCTTTCTTCCCATTTAATCTTGTTCATAGAATAAAAAGTTCTAAACATAAATTGGAAGCTAGATTTATGGTTAAAATTATATTATATTGTATTATTTAATATTTAATTTTATTAAAATTTAATAGCTGTACATTATAGAGTAGACTACTTTTGCATTGAGCTAGAGAAGCAATAAAATTTGAACAAGGCCTGAGGAGGTAAGTGCTGAATAGTGTAAGATGGGAGGGACTCTCTAACCACTTCTGAAAAGACTAGCATTTATTCATTACAGAATCATTTCTGTGGAGAAGGTCTGTATAGGCTATATTTTCTTGTACAGTACAGAAGGCTCTGGTTATAACTGTGAGTACTGTTATCTAAATTATCATGTGACATATGTTCTACTTGAATTTTTCACAGATAGAAACTGTGTTTGAATTAGAGAATGGTCTCAGTCATCAATCTTGTCAAAATGACATACCCTTGTACAAGTAGCTGGGGCTAATAAAAGGAACAGAAAAGCATATATTAGTAGAAATGCTCCAAATTAGCTCCCCCTATTCTTTTTGGTTTTTTTTTGGGGGGGGGTCCAGTCGTGGGGCCTGAACTCTGGGTCTGGGTACTGTCCCTCAGCTCTTCAGCTCAAGGCTAGTGCTCTACCACTTTGAGCCACAGCACCACTTCCAGCTTTTTTCTTTTTGCTTATGTGGTGCTGAGGAAT